GCTTTTACACTTATGCTAGTAGGATCTTCGTATTCGTATTCGGTGAAGAATTCCCACAGAACTTCGGAAGTTTCTCTAGGAGAAAGATCTTCGAGATTCGTTCGTCTAGCCACTTGAGTCAGATGTCGGACTAAAGGGCAGATTGAATGTAGTGGAGCAAACATTTAATTTAAATATTTTATTTACCGCGGCTGAGTTAAAACTGTCAATGAAAAGAAAATCTGTACCAATTTAAATTCGGATATCTCGAAATGTCCTACAATAAATTTACTGAGAAATTCAGTAAAAGGAAAATAACTTTCCAAAGGATTTTATATTTTACGGAGCCCTACTATAAGGATTCACTCCGAAAATAATAAAAATCACAAAATTTCAATTTCTATGGAGCCCTACTATAAGGATTCACTCCCAGAAATGGAAATTAAAATTTTCTATAAGTAGCCCCGCACTAGGGAAGTCACTAACATAAAGAAAACAAAATAATAATAGAGAATATCACGAAATGAGAAAAAAGGGGGAATTGGTCAGAATATTATCAATTAAATAATAACTCACAGAAATAGCGTAAGAATCTTCATCCTCGGGGTGACGAATGATATTTCAGCCGATCTGCCGTAGAGTCGCGAATTTGAAGTCCAGATGGAGTCCTGATTAGGCGGACGAGGCAATACCCCAGATAATGATCTTCAAAGCCAAATGATCTCCAAGGGATGGGTTTGTCCGGGACGTGAGAAAGTTGGATCCGTGCTTCAGGAAGACGTCTCAAAGGTAGACGAAACCAGAGGAATGACCACGGGTGATGACGTCTGGGTCCTGTTTCCTTGATGGCGAAGTCTCCGTCACGGGCAAAGTTTTCCTCGAGGAGTGATGTGCAAAGGCGAGGTACACCGTCGTACGAAAAAGCTTCAGTTCCCTCAATCCAGACACTAACGGATTCTTCTTTTCGGCGAATTTCGACAGGCCAGTCTTGTCTGAATGAAGACAAGTGTTCGTAGATGATATCGAGGAGCTTCTGTTCTTCTCTACTGCAAGAGTAGACAAAACGACGTAAGGTGTGCTTTGGTACCGGAAGATCTGAACCGTAACGAGGGAACAGATCGTCGGACATCAGTGAGCGACAGTTTTAATGGAAGAGAGCGATAGGCGGTTTTATCGAAAAATTAACGCAATGTTAAATTTTCGAAAACGAATCCTAGCGACAAGCGCCAGTTAAATTCTCAGCGAGATTTTTAGGAAGCAGCAACTGCGCCAGGGCTCAAAAAGCCCGGGATACGAAATAAATCAGAGTGAGATGCGGGTAACAACACACAAGGATTTTATTCACATTTGGAGAAACAATACAACCAGAGCACTAACGGTAGGACACGAACAGAGATAGAGGGAACCGGTCCCATCAAAAGTAGCTATCAGGGACTGCGATTGAAACAGGAGCAAAGTGACAATCAATTTATAATGAAAGATAAGTAGGGCAACTCGCGTCACAGACGGCAAGTTGGACTAGAGGGGGATTTGACTTTCCACGAAAGTCACCGAAATAGTCTTAATAAGGCAAAATTTGGAACAAGGGTCATGATTAGCAATAAGATTATGAAATTATGCTGACCAGGCGGCCTAGAAAGAAAGGCCGCGCGTGTCAGGCTGCCAGATAACTAAGGAAAAGAGAGAGAATGTAACTTACATGAGCAGAGGCAAATGAACTGATTCGAGGATTGCTGAGCAAGTCGGCACACTTCGAATGAGAATGTCACTCTTCCGTTTTGTTTAAAAGGTTGCATAGACAGATATGTACACCCCTGTTAAGCTTTTCAAAATTTGGTACCACTGCTCTGATATCCAGGGCCGGGCAGGACAGCCGTAATTGCAATCTGTGATGAGCCTCGAGACTCATTAGATTCATAAGCTAACTGTGGCCCGTACAGAAATTCACTCCCCTATCAGGCCAAAACAGTGCACAGGCAGGCAGAAACCTTGGCAGTGTCCCGATCGTGGCTCGGTTCGCCGCGTCGCTTCCCAGCTGAAGAACAAAAGGCGACCCTCGGCGAAGTCAGACCTAATTACTTCCACTCGATTACCCATTTCACCGTCACGCTGGGATCATGGGGAATTTTCAAAAAAATTGTTTTGCGTGTATTTGGCAATGTTTTCCTTACTCTCCGTTAAAACACGAGTAAAACGTGGCCTCATACATAAAAATCGGCCAAAAAGAAGAGAAGTTACATTATTCGAAATCCGAAGAAATCATTGAAACCTCAATTTCTTTAAAGCAAAAATAAAATGAAGGAATAAAAATAAATATATAAATTACAATTGAATATAATTGACCTCAGAATTTGACAAGCAATTCATGTACATAACGGAGAAAAAATTGAGAGAAATTACAAAAAATTCGCCTTTTGCATGGGGCTTCTTTGTAGGAATGTTGACCTGAAGACAAGGGTTGAATAGCAGCAGTACTCCATACAATACACGGTGTACCTGAACGAACATTTTTTTTTTTTTTGTCAAAATCGAAAATTCTTTATACTTTTTAACTACAGTGTCTCTTGAGTCGTTTAAGCCAAAAAAAAAATTCTATCAAGATTCTGGAAAGTAAAGGCGCTTTAAAAGTATTCTGGGGCCATAATAGCTAAATCACCGGGAGTAAATCCCGTTATATTTTTAAAAAGAAATTGACACCATACCTCAATGCCTTAGTTTCTTGAATACGATTATATTAAGCACTCAAACATTTATACCACCAATTTTAGCCATGGGGTGATTTTCTGAGAGCCGATAATATCACGAATTTCTCATAGAACTTTTCAAAAATGGCTTGCTTTTTGGGCAGCCGATTCGGTCATCGAACCGGGATTTAAATGGAAGCTGATAATTACAAAAAGCTCTGAGAAAAATTTTGAGATGAATATGGGAACGGTTTGTAAATAACGAGGAGAAGCAAACAAAGCGGTTACAATCGATCCGTAAGTATTTTTACACGTAGAATCTAATTTTCACGTCAGAGAGTCGACTCATTTCGATTTTTTGAATTTATACGGAAAATTGATGGTTTTTTTGGATTGAAATTATTATTGTTTCATGGAAAATAAATGCACCCAAAATGACTATAGCATATTGACTTTTACATATGTGCACTCATGAAACTGATTCGTAAATTCAGCGAGTGGGTACATCGACCTGGTATATCAAGTTTCTGCGATATTTTATGGCAAATCGGTAGATTTTTGGGATGTAGATTTCTTACTTACAATTCATGAATGAATAAAGTATGGACATGGTTGAACTTCTTTGCATGGAGAGACGTTTAAAATAACAAAATCAAGACATATTTAATGCAAATGCATTTATATAGAGTCAATTTTTTTTCAATAATATAACGGGATTTATAATACCGGTGATTTGGGTATTTTAGCCCCCAAATACCTTTAAATGGACTTTTTCTTTCAGGAGTTTGACAGAATGTTTCCTTTCTTCGCTTTAATTATTCCGTAGCACTTTTCTTCAAGAATCTGATAAGATTTTGCTTGAGGCAGATCAAAAAACGTAAACTCGCTCGAATGGCTTTTTACATTCACAATACACGGTCTCGTCAAGGTGCGTCGTTGACCTCGCAGTGTTGGATTGTGAATTCTCTTGTTGTGCTGCTTGCCTATTTTGAAATCTCTGTATAAATGAAGACTAAAGGGGTTGATATGTGCGAGTTAATGACGCGCCTTATCAACACATTGTGTTGGAGTTCACTGCTTGTCCTACTACTAGTATTTTTTAGATGTATTTCAGTATCACGGCATTTTAGCCTGCAATTTTAGCTAGTCTGAAGCCCATAAGGCACGATGATTTTCTTAGTTGTATTTTTGGCATTAGTTTTCCCTGCAATTGATCATGCACATGGCTCTTTGCTTATCTTTGGCCTGCGTCCTTCTGACCAGGCAGTTCCTATTCTTCGCCTTCCATGATCGTATTGAACATGTTCTCCTAAATTATTGTTATCTCGTATCAAACCGATGTAAGTTCCGAGCCTTCTGCTGTATCAAGTGTATTTATTCAGATCATTGTAAAGCAGCCAAATGTAGGATCTATTTTTGTTATATCAGTACTAAACAAGTTGGATTTCTCCACAGGGTTCTTTTGTTGTCCTATAGAATTTGAATCATGATTTAGTTTAGCTGTTCAGAGCACCTGGTAATGCTACCCTGTTTGTTATCCTGTACGATTTGGAGACCGATTTAGTTTTGCCTTTCAATTCCTGTTTGGCTTGAGCTGAGGCCCTTAGACCAAGTTCACCTGCTACTTGCCACTCGTTCTGCTACAGTTCTCTCTTCATTTTGGGACCTTCTCCTTTTCTCTCACCGTCAGTTGAGTCTCTTTTTTCCCACTCTGAGAGCTTCTCCTGTAGTTATGTTTTCTTTCTTGGCTCAAAGTCTTTTGGACTAAAGCAGTTTGTCTCTCTTCTAAGCAAGGAAAGCCTCCTTCTCATTAGCGCAACTTAAGACCTTCAGGCGCCAAATCTCTTGTTAGCAAATCTAAATCGGCAACTCTTACAGTATTAGCTCTTAAAGCAAAATCTCAAGTTTTACCAAGTACCTTAAGTGCCTAAATCAGCAACCGTTTCAGTTGGCAGCTCCTAAAGCTGCATCTCAAGAATTCTGTGATTCTAGTCCGTGTAATGCAAGTCTGATCTGTGATATTCTGATATTTATTAAGGCCTGCCAGGGCATGTACTAAAGTTTGTTTTCGTGCCTAAACCTTGTGTTGATTTGATATTGCCTTTGATCCCTAAATTGATTTAGTATTTATTATTTAGTATTTTTCTCTTGGCCCTATGCATCTTCTCTCTATCTAGTTCTCGCTTCCCTCCATTCTTCAGTTTTTGAGATATGCATTGGCTCAATAGAGTCAGTGCGTGAATCGGGCTTTGAACGATAGAGGGCGTAGGCGTGGAACACACGGAGACAATGTATTCATTTGAATGCTAACGATAAGTTTACAAACACTGCTCTGACCTGAATTAGAAGAGCTTGACGCGGAGTCTCCTTTTCTTAAGGCTTTTTGAGGGATCTCCAGGGATTGCTTCCCCAATCCTTTCTTCCTGCAAGGTGAAAAAATAAAACAAATGTATGGTTTAGAATGAAGCATAACAAAGAAAAAAAAATATTTACATGAATTACTCCATAACTGTGCGCATAATTTGCTGATTTCTTGTGTAAAAGTGCGAAACACCCAGCTTGGGGATACAGCCACCCTCCTAGTGAGGGAAGAAAACTAATGGACGTATTTAATGAAAAGGACCTCGTCCTAGCAAACAATCAACACTTGGTTCCCACCAGAAGAGCCTCTAAAAACTGCAGGCTTCGTGTCAGTGATCTGGTCCTGATTAAATAGAACCTTGCTAAGGGGTTGAAGTTTAGAGTTCTAGCTAGCGGTTGGTAGTGATCACTCTCCTCTCGTTTTCCAACTGGGATTTAATAAAGGCTGGGTGCCTTGGAGGTACCTGTGTCAGCGGAGGGGACCTCTATCAATAAAGAAGCAACAAACCAGGAAACCAGACTTCGCCCCAAACACTTTCGGAAATTCACGAGAATAGTGAGGAAAAAATTAAAGAAACTATACGGACTCCCAAACAACCATTTACGAGGGTTGGAAGCACAATTTGCAGATTTCTCTATAAAAGGCCGACACTAGAAGTAGTATGAAAATAGGAATTTGACCAGGTAAAAAATCCAATAAATATCGTACAGCGTTGCATGATGGTGCAGAAAAATACGAATTAAATTACAGTGTTGTATCGGGATTATTATTCAATATGGCAACGCTGTAAAGTAAAAGTATTGCATGTTGCCCCTTCAATAATCGGGTTATGCAATCGTGCAATGTAGCACTTCAATCTGCGGTTTATGCAATGGTGTATTTTTCAAGATGGCGCAGCAGCGTTGCCGGACGGTGCACTTAAATAAATGATTTAATTATTGGTGAAATTTTACAACATCGCATTTTACAGTGTTGCCAGATGGGGCCAGAAATTAGTTAATTTTTTGATACAGTGTTGCCAGATTGTGCAAAAAATTTCGATTTTCGGACTTGTAAAAATTTTCGGTTTCGAAAGACCGTATCTTACAGAATGGGTCTGGTATCGGATACTGGAGATTAGGGTCTGATCGAGGAAGTTGAACAATTTTCGGAAAATCACCCTCCTCCGATCCGTTGCGGATCGATGCAATTCTTTTCCACTTTCGAAGATCGGAAAACTGTACTGACCGAATTTTAATATGACTTTTCGTTTCCGAGATTTCTGACTTGTAAAATTTTCGGCTTCGAAAGACCATATTTTACAGTATGGGGCTGGTATCGGAGACTGGAGATTAGGGTCTGGTTCGGTAATTTTCATTTTTTAGCGCTTGGAGATGCGTACGGGAACCTTGCGACTGGGATTGGGTATTGCAATGTTCAGATTGATGAATCAAAAATTTTTTTGGGTATTTACAGTTACAGTTTAAAACAGTTCACGTTGGATACTATTTATACGAAATCCTTACTATCGATTCAACTATTGTGACTCGCGTCCAGACCCAACCATTAGACAAAGGCCTGATTTTTTTTGCGACGCAGAATTTTCTCCACCAGGAACGTATCCTTATAGTTGGCGGGTTGGAGTTCTTCACGGTAGAATTTTCCTTTGATGATCGTATCATGCGCGTCTTTCAGATCGTACGTGATCGGAACGGGCGGATTGACGCTGACAATCTTGAAAATTTCCGTGCTCCAATTCGGTGTGTATCCTTTCTCGAACACGGCTTTGAGTCTCGAGATCCGGACGTGATCACCGACATTCAGTTTTCGTCTGGCCAAACGTCTCTTTTCAATTTTACTCAGCGGCGGCCCACGAAGCTTTTGCAGGATCATCGGTACATCCTTTTCGGTGACATCGATTGGTTTAATCCTGATGGTGCGATGAACGCTCCCGTTATATTCACGGAGGAGTTTCGATAATAGATCTACCCACTTGTACGATCCTTGCGCACTGAACTCTTTCCACATCTTCGCTTTGAGCGTTCGGTTGAATCGCTCCACGAAAGAGGCTTTGGCTGCCGAGTACGAGCTGTACATATTGATCTTGTGACGCTTCATCAATGCTTGACATTTGGAGTTGTAGAATTCCGAGCCCATGTCGACTTGTAAATGTTTCGGTGACTTTCCAGCTGCTTTGAGAACGCGTTGCAGAGCATAAGTGACATCCGTGGCCGTTTTCGATTTGAGCGGTTCGGCCAACGTCTTTTTCGAGCAAGCGTCGATGACGGTGAGGAGATATCTGTATCCTTTGTTAACCGAGGCGTACGGTTGCATCTCGAGTCTCGACGAGATCGGCTTGCCATAAATCGAACAATCCGAGAATCCGTACTTTACGACGCGGATAGTTTCGTCGTGCAGGTTTATGTAGCTCCTCGACGATCCCACGTTTTTCTGCCGACATGATAATTACCGTCAACGTCGTCGTCGTCGTCCGCTCTCTCAATTCAAATGCTGTTTCGATGCTACTATTTTAACCAGACGATTGTAAGATTGTTGAAGTTGGTGGATACGCTCCAGACAGTGTTGACCTAATTTCATAGCTTCCTTCCACTTCCGTTCGGACCATTGTTTGTTCACCGCATCCTCATCGCTTTCGGGATCTTGCACTCGACGAATCCACTTGTTCGATACGATATAATTTCCGTCGGAATCCAGTGAGAATCCGTCACCTTTTGGACCGCGGTGGAATTTCCATCGGCCAAAACCGTCCGTGTGACTCATCTCAACACTATTTTCCTTTCATTCGATTCACAACCTCTAGTTGACCGATCCTATTTTCGGGTCGTGATAATTTCGTCTCGGGTCGTTGCGCGATACTTTTGTATTCTTCCATTTTCTCCAAACAAAGCTGTGTCGAATTCATAGCTTCCGTCCACCTCGAGTCTGTCCATTGTTTGCTCACGGCGTCGGTATCCTCTTCGGGATCTTGCAGTTGTCGGATCCGTTTGTTGGATACAAGATAATTAATGTCGGGATCCAGTAAGAAACCGTCTCCTTTGAGACCTTGCTTCGTGCTGCGAATGTAAGTCCCTTTCGATCTTCCAAACCGGTCGGTGTGACTCATTTTTGTGCGGATCCTATATTTAGTGGATGTAATCCGCTTCGCGAAGCTCCTCGGCGATATTTAGAATTTCACGATCGTGATCGGTGTGACCAGCTTGTTTCGAAGCTACAAGTAAAACGAGACGTTGGATAATTCGTTCGGATCGTCCCAATAGACGAGTTCCCGTTTCGCACGATGAATTTTGATACCGGAGCCTTTCTTCAGTTTTTTACGCGATGACTTCGACGTTGATCTCGGAGTCGATGTAGCGAACAAAGGTTTGATGATATCGCGGTACTTTTGACTGCGGTTCGAGTTGGGTCTACCGTGTGGATGATGATCCCTCCGATGCGCCTTGGTGAGCGTAACTACTCGTTGGAATTTAGCGCGATCATCTGATGTGTAAAAACGCGGATGTTTCTTAAAAGGGAGCTCCAAGAACCCGGGTGTTTGTTCGAACACCTCATCGCTACCGTCCAAGATTAGTCGTCCGTCCGAATCGAAACTTATGGTTCCGTTTCCGATGAGAAAGTTTCCGTTGATCGCTTTCCGCACACCATACGCGGGATCGGATTGTTTCGGATGTTTTTTCAGATAGTCCAAGTAGAATTGTACGTTCGGGGCAGTGATTGTGTCTCGAGAATCGACGTCGTCGTCTTCCGTGCGACCCGTTGTTTGTTCTCTATCCGTTGCGTCTTGGAACGATTCATCATCATCATCATCATCCTCCTCCTCGTTTGAGTTGTTATCATCATCATCATCATTGTTCATATTTTTCGGTGATCCTAATGAAGCAAATAGACTATCAACAAACATTGTTTTATCTTTCGTTTCCGATTTTGAAGGTTCGATCTTGGTTTTCCTTTCCTGAGGAGCAGCGACAAGTGCGGGTGTTGTTGACAAAGTTTTCTGCAACGCTGCAAACGGATCTGTCAACGGTTTGAAAACTTTCTTCAACGTCACCTGAGCGTCCGCCTCTCCGGTGCGAATGGTATTTAACTTCCGTTTGATATCTTGACGGATTTTATCGATACTACCGTATTTCTGAGCGATCGTCGACAACGATAAGTTATCCATTTTGTACAATATAAGTATCGAAACCTTTCCGGTACCTTCCCTCGTTCTTATTACTATCTTTATCGATGACTAAAAACCCGTACTTGTCCTGAGCAGATGTGTCTGAAATCTTCGAACGTGAAATCTGTGTTGACGTGATCGTCATAGATGTGTCGCAAGTTTGTATTGTCCTGTTTGAAAACTTCGAGCAGGTTAGCGTTATCGCGAATCAATTGTTTCGGTATGCGAGAATACGTTTGACACAAGTAAAAACTAGCGACCGAGCTGTGTCTTCCCATACTGAAATAATCCCGCATCGCATTTTGTTTGTCACAAGCGACATCATCGAAAATAAAGACCGAGTCGGATGCGGCATCGTTTGGTGGAACAATCTCGGCCGTGTCAGAATAGACGTTGACAAATAGACGTAGAGACCGTCAATTCCGTCGAATATCTGACGCAGTTCTTCGTACTTGGGTTGGAACGGTGTCTTGGAGTACAAGTACACGTTGCGGAACTTCAATCCGTTCAGATGTTGTAGCAAGCAAACCATCACGTTTGTTTTACCGCAGTTGGACGGTCCGGCGACAATGCAACGGATACTATCCGGTGACAGTTCACTGTGTCGTCGTCGTCGTCGTTGTCGTCGGTTTTCATTTTGCTTCTTCCGTTTTTCGAGATTCGGGACTTGCAATGACTTTCTTTGCTTGACGAGTCGCATCGTATTCGTTCCCTATTTTATCGGACAGTTATTTTATTTATTTTTTTTTACTTCTCCGTATAAATAGTATGGACATTTTCGTTAGGGTATGTCACCGAGAAGAACATCAACTTGCAGCAAAACCAATCGAGGACGTGGACTGTTAAACTCGTTGATAAATTCACTACCGTTCGAACTACACTTACCGGGCGACTACAGGTAC